TGCTGTCTTGCCATGATTTATTAATGCTGATAAGCGGTATTTTATTTATATAGAATTAATTAATAAAACAAGTGCTTATCTCTCTCTCTCTCTCTAAAATTGAAGTGTTTATTTTATGGAAAGCCAAGCTGGCCCTGACAAAGGTTGGATACCAAAAATCAAAGTGTTTTTGGGCTTATTAAAGCATAAACATATACAAGTCGCGTAAGGCAATGGCAAATTAACGAATCTGCATAATTATGCATCATTTTTTGGCTTGTTTGATTGCTGCTTTTATGCTTTGTTTACTAATTAATTGACTTGAAAAGTTAAGCGGCTGCGGCGCAGTTTGGCAGCCACTGGATCCACAATATCGAATTGATTGTTGAATTTATTTCGCCATTTAGGCTTGGGCAGCAATTAATACAAATTAAAGAGCTGTGGATGATTTCCATTGAAATGGGTGCCAGGGCTGCCTCCTCCCCAACTCCGTCATGCTTGGAGTCATCTTCAGGCTGATGATGATGTTGATGATGCAACTCCATTGGCATCGAAATTGGGGAGGCGCCACAACTGGGATACAATATCTCGATCGTGATCTGCGGCGGCTGCTGCTGTGCAGGCATTTTTTAATTTCCCCGAAATAAAAAAGCGTTTAAGATTAATGCCCGCGATTGCCAAACAGAAGCTGATGTCACCCGCATAAGATTTTCATTTTTTGATTTTTTCATTTTTTCATTTCCAAAAGCCCAGCCCAGTTTCCGCCGCCTTGATTATGATTAACGATTAGGACGACGCCGAAAGAAGTTGCCTTTCGATCGTTCGTTCGATCGATCTGTAATTGCCAGTCAATTCCCTTAATTGAAAGCTTGCCCCAGGCCCAGAGACTTCGAATTCAAATAAATTTCAAATTTCACTCATTAAAGTGCCACCCCCCGCCAGAGTTTAAATCTGTTTCTATTTCTGTTTCTGATCAACATCAGAGATCAGGCTTTGACTTTGTTCTATAACCTGACAGATAGATATAGACTATCAACCTGATCGGTATGCCATTATCACTTTCTTACAATGTAATAAAAAGAAAAAACCATACTGCAGGCCCCTGTCTAATAGATCTTAGAAGCTCTATAGCTTAAATCACCTCCTCTAACGATGGGCCCTGAATGAGAATGAGAATGAGAATGAGACCTACCCAAAAATCGTTGATCGGCCCCTGCATACTAAGTTTCGCGATGGGATCATCATCATCTTCGATTCTTGGCAGACACTTTCCTAAGCTTTATTATTATTATCACTGCTTGGCATAAACAGAAAATTTAAATGCAATTTTCAAGCACATTTTTATGGCGTCATTCGCCTGTAAAATGTTGCTTTACTTTTTGTCTCCGCCGATGACACAATGAGATATATAAACTTCTAGATATATATATATATATCTTAGATATATAGTTCACCCACACTGCCTCCTGCATTTTGCAATAACTCAGAAGGCAAATTGCGACAGTTTAGGAATTTCCTCCCCGCCCCATCTCCATCCGCATCCGAAAAATGCTCTTAATGGGCTGGTTGGGTGATGTGTTTTTTATTTCATTTTCCTGCTGCTTATTTCTATTTTCAACATTTACGCAATGCAATAGTCAAACAATAATTGTTCATATGCTAGGCCACCACCATATATATACTATATATATATATATTCGTATATAGTATAGTGTATTTGTGCCCCCACAGACGCGCCATGCAAATATTAAATTACAAAACCTGCCTGCCAGGGAGGGGAAGGAAGAGGTGGGCCAGCAAAGTGAGAAATGAAAAGTCAGGCTGGGAAATTGGTATTTAGTTTACCCTACACTGCGGAGTTACTTTTCAGTGTTTAGTCTATGAGGCAAATAGCTGGGTGTACCCATTCTACATTCCTGCCAATGGGTATCAGGTGCCAGAGGGCGAGGGGTGGCGGGGGACTGAAAGAGTTTTCATTTTCAATTATTCATCATCAGCTTGGCGGCTTTGCTTTCTGTGCTCATTAGCTGGACATATGTAATTAGATCTATGCGACTTCTAGTGACTTTCAGTGACTTTCAGTGACTCTTAGTGACTTCCAGTGACTTCTAAACTATCTAAGTACGATCAAGGATCTTGTAGAGCTGTCTTACTGGGTATCATCAAAAAATCGCTTACTCCCAACTCTCCTGCTCTGCCTCGAATTAGAAACTTTCGTCTCTGGTATCTTGTCGCCTTCTATTTATAAATGCTTGCCTCATAGCCAGCCAGCATCTTCGTTCATTGATTCCCCCTAAACCCCCTACACCCCCCCTTTTCCTCCACCCAAAAATGCATACATCAGCCAGGGGGAAAATAGATTCCGGATCCGCAGAAGAGCCAAGTCTGGGAATCCGAGAATCCCGACCAGGTCGCCCCGTAATGACTAATGGTAATGGAAGCCTTCCGACATGCCAATTTGACAAAGTTAACACTCGGCGATATCGGCAATCAGCCTTAGAGGAATATATAACCAGAAATAGGAAGGGAAAAGCCAGAGCCAGGCACTTCACTCTCCCATTTCCCATCTCGCATCTCGCACATGTCGTATAAACAGTTTTAAGTGTGCCAGTTGGCCCCCCTTAGCCCCTTAGCCCCGCCCCTTTGGTCAATGTCTGAACTTGAGCTCAAGTGGGTGCAGATGGGTTAAGGGAGGGCGGAGGAGGAGAAGTATGCGTTAGGCAGCCTCAGTTTAGTATTTAAACAAATGCTCGCATGACTCTTCCACAGAAAATTGCATGTGATCGCTATGCGAATGTGAAGTTGCACGTTGAGAAATAGTTTAGCAAGAAATTTGCCATTTTGATGAGATATTATTAAGGCTTTAATAGGCTTTTCTCCCAGTGATCCAATAAAGCCAGAATGGCAGATATACAGGCACAGCCGGTCACATGTGTGATCGAGGGTCCAACATCTTGTGTCCATATGTTGCACAAACAAACAATCGAAACAGAAACCGTGAAGCCACGAAAACAAGAAATCAAGAAAACAGAAACAGAAAACACTAAACTGAAAACTGAAAACTGAAAAATGAAAACTGAAAACAAGGAGAACGAGCGAACCGAAGGGAATGTGCCAACGAACGCATCTTCACACAGAAACAGAAAAGCGAAAAGCGAAAAAAAAGCAACAAAAACAAAGAAAACATAATCCCAAAAGCTGAAAAAGAAACCAAAACGATATGGCCAAGTCGAAAAAGCTGCGAAATGAATATTTTTCTCATCTGGCGGGGCTGGCGTTTTGTCGGTGCTTTGGCTGCTTTAATTTTCCCTCTTGTTTGGCCTGCAGTTGGTGTTGATGATGCAAATATTTGTTTGACAGTTTGTTTGACAGATATCAGGGGGGGGATATATATCTGATGACAAGTGGCCATATAAGCCAAAAGATCGAAGGGGATACCCTTGTGCAGCCGCCAAAAAGGGGGACTCATCCGTCGATGTAAACATCTGAGATCTGTTGCCAGGCGCAGATCACCATCACAAACAGATGGAATGCCATTTGTAAACCAAGAATATCAAAAATGTTAAACAGGATGAACTTTGATGATGACATAATCTACAGAGAGGCCCTGATAAGTTCTAGTTTTGCGGTTAGAGGAAGTGCCAACGACTCGTTCAAGTTCACTTATCAATCTTGAGCGGATAAAACCCAAGATAAAATGAGATATGAACCTAAAGTGGCCGGGCCACCTGATCGTATGCGCAATGTCCATTGACCGGCAATGGCAATACGCATACGCCGGATAGGCCAGCGCAGAGGATGGAGCTATCGGACTGCAGCAGTGACCTCGTTTGCAGTCCGATTTGCAGTGGCTCCTTGTAAGCGTGAGGGCTCCAACGATAAGACCCGACCAGGCGACACACACACATATGTTCGAATTTGGCCTCATTTACGCAACTTCCGATGTGATAAAAAGTGTGAGCAGCGCTGCAGCAAAACAAATCAAAAGAAAACAAATAACAGTACAGTCGGAGAATTGTCCAGCAGGTACTACTGGCCCATCAGAACATCGAAAATCAAAGGTTCTTCTACATATAAATGGCGGTGATTTGAAATGTTAATTTAAGAAATTATTTCATTGCAGACAACGTCTGTGGGCAACATGTCATTAACTCGCTGATAACGCGCTATCATCGCCCCTCATTATGGTGGAAAAACGAACACACATTCTATAACATATATATAACATATATATATATAATTAGAACTGGAACAATCGACTCCTCCTCATAATAATTGGCAAAGAGGACCGAAAACAATCGCAGCATTCAAAAGTCGCTTCGATGATTTTGGAAGGAAAATGAAATGAATTCGGTGTCTGTTTTTTTGAAACAGTGATAACCCCCGATGATGACCCGGGTGGTCTCAATGATTATATTTTTTTGGCCCCTGGTCATTTCGAAGTCCGGTCCTTGCCATTGCTTGGACAGACCGTTTGAATTGGACTTTCAGTTTTAAATCGCTTCCTAAGCCTAAGCCTAAGTCAAATCCCCCTAAAAAAGAAACCCTCAGGGCATCTATATAATTCCTATGCTAATCACTTAGCCGCTCTATTGGGAAAATAATGTGTGTCATGGAAAATGGTTCAAGTTCGTCGATGGTATCATTTCGAATTAGTGATCGTTGGGCTAGAGAAGCCAAAACGGAAGTGGAACTGTTGATAGCAAGCTAAATTATAACTAGACTTTTCCCTGATATAAATTTCACTTTTTTTTTAGCAGTTAATCAAAGCAGAAACTATACATTTTGACTACGCCGCTTAGCAAGTCTTCAAATCAAAGCTGTTAAAGCCACGCACAAAGGTGTAGCTACCCGAATGCCTAGCAACTTTCGACTGGTCAGAGCTAAGAGTTTTATCATTGATAGTTTTAGTATCCATTTTATAGCCCCGATCAAGGTTTCCAGACCTCCGGTACTGCCTTAATTAATGCAAACAGAGAGTCACTACGAGTTCCCCCCAATTTCTTGCAGACAAAACTCACCTTGGCATTTGTCAGCGGTACATGGCAGGCGTTGAGGACGAAGGCCACGACAAGGAGACGCAGGAGCAGCGATCCCGTGTGACCTCTCGCGATCGCGGGCGCTTGGGATCCCGGCGATCCCATCTTGTGGTTTCCGGGTAACAGCGGTTACGGCGTGGTGTCTCTGGTATTTTTGGTTTATTTGGCAGCTATATGGGTTTGGTTTAGGTACTTGTGTGAAGGCAGTTTCGGTTCGTATTTGAGTTTGGTTTTTCACGGCTGGCAGGTTGTTGTTACGGCTATGGCACTGCACAAGAAAAAAAAGCCCCGAAATAATTTATTAATACGTTAATTGAAAAACTATAGAAACTATAGAAAACAATGTGTCCCCTGCTTTAGGCATAAAAACTCCTAACATTAATTAATCTATAAAATACTTTAAAATCTGAATTCTATGGTCGATTTTTTCTCGGTGCACTAATAAAAAAAATAAAGGGGGAAACAAATCGGAGAACACAGAAACGGGACGCGTTTCCCGATTTCAGCAAAAACTGTCGACCTCGGCGAAACCAAAAACCCCCAAAAAACAAAAAATACCCGAAACCGTTAGGTTCGAGAAGTCCCTTCGAAAAGATTGCAAGATCTCCCAAAGATCTTATTTTCACTCCTAGCTGAAGTTTGTTTTCCCCATTTTCGTCCGGGTTGCCACTCTTTTCGATTTCATTCTTTCTTTCTTTTCTTTTTTTTCCAAATTTTGTTTTACACTCGCGTAACACTATTTTCTGGAGAGAGTGGGTTCCTTTTTTGGATCATAGTCGCAAAGAAAAGAAAAGGAGCTAAGGTTAGGTTTTTATCCTTGAACCGTTTTCACCAGGATATTTTTTTTTTAAGGATTTCGGAAAATGTCGGCACTTTGTGGATGTGAGAGCACTTAAAAAAAAAATTAACGCTCCACAAAGAGAGTCAGAGTCACGCATTAAACAAAAGAAACAGCGCACCGTGGAATGTGCGACCGCCTGGAACGATGGCGCGCAACCTAATGTCTAAGAACCGTTGCTGCGATTCCCATCGCTGCCTCTGCCATGTCGACGTCGCTCCGAAGACGCACGAAGGCCGAAAACGAGACGAAAGCCGAAGCGATTTGCGTGCTCTTGTTATTGTTATAACGGCGCTTAATGGCTATTGCAAGCCTGTTGCGTCGATGCACCGCTCTCTCCTCGCCCACTCCTCTCTCACTTTACTCTCTGCTTCTTTGCTTCTTCGCTTATCCCCTGTCCCCGTCTTCCCCACACATGCGTGGGTGTCCGCTTACGCAGAGTTTGTCGCGCCTGCTCTCTCTCCTCGTGCTCTTCTTATCCTTTCCATACTTCTAGGACGTAGTCAGGACTATAAAAATGGGGGTCTGGATAATTTTTATCAAATTAAAACGAAAACTAAATGCCAAAATGAACAAATAATATAATGAAGTTAATATTAAAAACAACGAGATAAAAGTTAAAATCTAAGCCCCCTTGAAATATAGTCAAGGGCCGCCTATGCCTCTCGCTCTCTGGGTCAACTGATAAGCAAGTGAAAACCGTTGCTCCTTGCTCTCTATTCTTCTTTTGTTGTTGCTGGGCCAGCCGGTTTGCAAATTTGCAAATCCTCTCCCTTCTACGAAAAGTACCGCAAGCTTCGCACTATTCCTTGAGGTTTTTTTGCATTTGACACCCGAAAAATATTTCTCCCTCTTGAAAAGGCGGCTGTTTTGAGCTTAATTTAACAACATTTAAGGCAGCTTAATAAAATATATTTACGATTTAACTTAAAACGTGTAAAAACTGGAAGCACCAGAAGGAAAAGTGATGGAAGTGCAGTTTTTACAACTTTATGGCTGCCAAAATATTTGTGCTTTTTGTGTACTTATCGGTATGCAGAAACTGCATGCTCCAACAAGAGGCCAAAGAACAGGTGCAGCCATTGCATATAACATCATCTTAAAAGTGCGATCATCGGGCTAAAAATCATTCACTTTTCGTTTCTTCTCTTTGCAACTCAGCACTCACATGGTAAATGAGTATAAAATTAGCCTATTTGGTCATGATTTATACTTTATTTAGTTAGCACATTTTCGGCTGCTGATGAAATTACATTTAATGGTACATTCTATGCCTTAATAGTTTCTGCATGTTCCGAAAATCAAGTGAGAAGTAAAAATCTATTTCATTTCAGGGAAAGTTGACCAGGAAATCGATTTGAAAAGGTTCTTCTTCAAAGCCTCTTGGCTTTGGCGGTTAAGTCAGTTGTGTCAACTAATCATGGGTCATGGACTGTGCTAGCTACAACATGTGACCTTCAGCCCACATCGTCCCCCACCGCCACCCCCAGTAAGGCGTCTTCCCATTGGCGCCTGACCCAAATGACATCCGAAAACGACGCATGCGTAAGGCTGAATTACCGGACTTGGTTGCCGACGCCCCAAACGGAGGACCAATGGACACGTTGCGATTTTTCATGACCCCACCTTTTCCCTCCCGTGTTAATTGGGTTATTCCCTAGGTCCCCCTTTCTCTCCTCTACCTTCTTTCGTCTTTTAGTGTGGAATATTTAAATAGTGGCGCCTCGCAAATTGCCACAGCTTCCGTTCGCTGATAAGAAGAGGCTCTAAAAATAATCACAGAATATATGTTAATTACGCCAAATCAAGTGATGACAATGGAAGGTCTGCACTGTGAGAAAAAGGGTAGCTATTAAGGAAATTCAAGGAAAGTCTTCTTTTTAACATAGGTTTTGATGGAGTAACTAAACAAGTAAGGCCTTTTAAGTTAATCTCTTTTAATTTTGTATATATTTTATCTTTATAAGTTAGTTACCTATTTGAATTCCACTTTTTCAAGTGTAATTAATATTCGGACATGTGTGCACTTCAAACACATAAATATAATTTGGGAAGTCAAAAGGTGGGCCCTTATCGCGGTGGTTGGCTCGAAATTGGAACAAAGGCTGAAACAATTGTAATTATCAAATTCCAAGCCGAGGTTATCGGTTATAAACGTTAAGAAAAAAAAACCCCAACAATAGCGATTTTAACCTGGCGAACACACCACGTTGGTGTGGTGAATACACACGGCTCTGTTAGCCACTTTCAAAAGTGAAAAGCTGTTCACAGTTTGAGAGCGGCTGCTGAAAAGCTTTTAGCCAAGTCAATAAAATGTGTTTTGCAAAAGCTTTCCAAAAGAATTTTCTAAGGAAAAGAAAGTAGTTGTTATAAATCTATATTAATTACTTTAAAGGTCCAAAAATATGAACTAAAAAATGTTATAAATTACTTTAATATAATAATAATATTATAATATTATTCTAGTTTAATTTCCATATTTAGAAAGCAGAAGCAATCGTGATAACAGTTGAGATTTTTAAATATCAGAACACACATAATTCGTGACCTAAATACTTAGATTTAGCAAACACACATTAATATATACAACAAGCCATGATTAAAGTGCTTTAGAAACGATTAAGACTTTAGGAAAAATCGTGATTACTTTCAAGGTCAAAGATATTTCGGTTTCAGCCAGCGATTCGATGTCTATTTCAGTCATAAGTGCAAAGATAATCCCCGCATAGGAACATTATTTCTGAAGAGTATAATAATAATCCTAAGAGTCATTTCCATTTATCCCTTTGACAGCACTGAGGATTTCCCTGTCCTGCTCATTTTCCAACATCCACCCCCACCACCACCCCACCATATCTGCACTCACTTTTACATTTTCCGCAACACTTTTTTGGTTTCCGTTACCGAGCTTTACGCTAAATATTTGCCTGCCCTCCCATACCCCTCATCCACCTCTCTCTCAGCACTTTTTTCCTGGCCAAGTCACGTGTTTCGCAACGGCAACTTGTTGGCTTTGGCATACGTAAAATACGTAAAAAAAAAAAAAAAGAAAAGGGCGGTGAAAAGTGGGCGTGAATTACGACGTTCGGGCGACATTTTGTAATTGAAAACTAATTGTGGCTGTGAATAATTTAACAGCTTTCCCTATTTTCCACGTCCATCCCTTTACTTGGCCAACAAAAAAAGGGAATAATAATGTGTAAATGGCTAAGGAAAACGGTAATTTCCAGCCACGTGTGATTGGCAAAGACCAATTATTGCCAGCTTACCAACAACCGTAATTGCGACATGGAAAATGGATTTCAAGGAAGCTCATTTAAGGACTTAAAACTAACCTAAAGTTAGCACTAAATTTGTATCTCAGCTTCAGCCACCTGCAACTGACATCCCGACCAAGTTCTAGGTCAAATCTGGAGCTATCTTCTTCCATCAAACAGGTTCTTCTTCTCCAAATTGACAGACCAAGATGTGCTTTGGCCAATTTCAAGGAAAATCGGTTACGTGGAAACCTCGTGGAACAGTGCTAGCCCGGAAAACCCAACAAGTGGCAAGGTAACAACAAGTTGCAAACTGCAGCTTGCATAAGGAGAAGCTCAAACCTTGGGCTTACAAATAGGGGGAAAACCAGTTGACATTTTCCACCCCAGGGTTGTGCAATTGTGCGGAGGGGGGAGGGGGAAAACTCTGCTGTTAGGGAAAAGGACTGTTGTCCTGCTAAAGCGTTTGCTAATTGTTAGCTGGATATCTTTGGATATTTTTTGGCAAGACCTTTGGCTAGGCTTTTAGCTTAATTAAGGCCAACGTTCCGGGCTTTGTGCCTGCCCCGCCCCGCCTCCACCTGTCCATCAATAGGCATCTAAAGGTTTTTTTGTGGCATTGAAATTTAATTTCGTTTCATTTCGCATTTCGTTTTTCACATTAATTAAATTGACCTCCTTCTGTGCGAATTTTCGGGGGGGGAGGCGTGAAAGGCGCCAGAAAACCAAACCAAACTGCCAAAAAGTCAACGGCGAAAGTTAAAAGCCAAGCCAAGGATTTGCAGATATATCTTAGGACCTCTCAATAGGACTTGGCTTTAAGTTGCTTTCACTTTCATTTCTATTATTAACAACTTTTGAAAGATTGCTTAGGTTGCTTAGGCAAAGCTGAATGAATGCTAACCAAAAATCAAACTATGAGTGTTCCCTCCTTTCACGCCCACAATTTTCCGCGAATAAGCTCTTTTTGCCAAAGTAGGCCCTTTCTACGTCACATTTTGAATCCCTACAGGTGGCAATAATCCCTATCCCAGATGCACTTACTCCTGCTAAGCCAAGACTCTGGGCTTTGATGATTTTGGCTGCCTGCTTTCCTGTGCCTAATCCCTTTCCTAATCCCCGAAATAGCTTGCGCTTTTCCACCCAAACTACCCATCGATTTAAAAGCCTTAATTAAATGTCTTTCCTATTGTTGGTCTTGTTCTCACCTATAACTTACCTATATCCATTGACCTCCAATTGTCTTCCCAAAGCCCAGCATTCTGATCGACTTCAGTTTGAGAAGCACTTTGGTAGCCTTTGTTAGAGGGCAGCTGCCGCCATCATCAGCCTGGCAAAGAAAAGATGAAAAATGTTAGAAATTAAGTTTATTTCTTCTGATTCATTATTATTTTTGGGTTCTGTTTTCGTTTCATCTATATACCAGAGTGAGTACATATGCTCGCCGGCTAAATACAGACCTCCTCTTCTTGGCCAAAACGGCCTTTTTGTTTATGTTTATTTGCTGCTCGCTCAGTAATTAAAAGGCAATCAAAAGGCAAATAGATTCTTTCGCCGGGCCACGCCCCCAGCCAGTAACTTTTGTAAATTCCAATATAAAGGCTTTATTTTAAGATTAAAACTGAACTTTTTATAGAATCCAAAGATCTGGGCAGAAACTAACTTTGAGCCTTGTCAACTCTTTGGGGCAAGACAGCCATCATAAAAGGCTAAAAAAAAAACGTTCTTCTCGCTGGCTGCTAATAAATTTGGATAAAATCTAAACAAACTAAAGCAACAGGGCAATAAAAAATTGATTTTTCTCCCTGCCGGCGCTTCGTTTAAACAAATTTTGTTGCCAAACGCAGCACAAACTGACAGTCGTAAAAAATATATATGGCCTGCATGTCGGAAGGAGGTTAGGAAAGAGCAAGAGCAAGGCACTTGGGATACCCTGTAAAGCTGGTTCAAGCACTAACCTTAAACCAGCTTCTTAAGTCATTATAGTTGTTAAAAATGTAGATCTTAGCCCATAACCCTAGCTTCTAAGTAGACCAAACAACCTTTCCTTTGCCCGAAAGCTGAGCAGAGTCAAAAAAAGTAAGCACAGTGAAGCATATAAATTGCGCAAATTGCCCTGAACTGAGTGAATGGGAAACTGAAAAGGGGTTGGGAAAGAAAAGAAAATTCCCGAAAAGAAAAACAAGGCTTGGACATTAAATATGATCGAAACTCTTAAACTAAAAAAAACACGGCCAGATGGCGGGGCCCTGACAGATGTTAAAATCGTTTTTGGCGAATGCCGAAAGATATATCTCCCCGATCTCCAAATTGCATATAGAAAACAAAAACTTCATTTCGAACAATTAAAGATGTCACAAATAGAAACGAACTTCAGCTTTTCCTTTGCCAATTTAGTTGCAGGAGAAGGAGAAGGAGGAGGAGTAGGAGGAGACTTTTCCCTGCTTTTCCTTCGGCACTCAGTCAATTTAACGCTTCATTTGCACAAGTTTTTCACTTTTTCAGTTTTTCTTCTTGTTATTTCCCTTTTCTTCGCTTTATTTTCCCTTTCAAATGGACAAAGGCGACGCATTCAAGGCAAACAAACAAGCGTAGCCAGGGGCGGGCATTCCACCACCTGCAGGAGAAGTCCACTCGTTCAGGTGCCGACGCGAGTGGCACTTCAAAATTTAAATCTCAGCGAGAAAAAATCGCATTAAATAAGCAGAAATACAAATACAATACTATATAGTACAGATCTGTACTATATTTCTGATTATTATAATGCACGCAAGCGTTTTCCTCCATTCAAAATAACAACAAAAAGTTACTTTAGTTTTCCACTCGAGTGATGGTGGTGGTGGTGTTTGGGGGGAGGGCGGCTGGCGGATGTCATCAGCTGCGCTTTTGCCTTTTGTTTCCAGGCACCTCCTCCACCGTTTCCAAGCATTTACATTTTCCGCGCTCTGGCAGAGTTCTTCATCCGAGAGGGGAATCCATCATCAAGATTGCAAAAATTACGCGAAATCTTTCTAAATGCCAAATTAAGTCATCACCTTTAGCATGACCCAATTTTCCAGGCTTAACATTTTAAAGTTGTTAAGCCTGGAAAATTGCTAAAAATTATATACTTTTTATAGCCTTTCTCAGGGTATTTCCAAGTTGAGTTTGGCTGCCTCCTAAACTGCGACAATTTTCCTTTGACAGTTGCATTTTTCTCCTGATGTTTATTTAATTTTTGCTCATTCGCTTTTCTCATTTGCTGTAATTTATGCCCCCGCTGCATTCAGCGGATTTCTGGGTAAGACAAGCTGCAGTCTCCCTTTTGATATATCTGTAGCTGTATCTATATCTGTATCTATATCTTTATTTATATTTTCTATAATTTGATAGCTCTGTTGCGGTGTCTTTTTGTCAGCTTTTGGGGCTTATGTTTCTGCCCCAAATTGGCTGCTCATAGCACAAATTGCCGTTGTCTTTCCACTGAATGTTGCAAGTGGTCGGCCACTTTTGCTGTTGCCTTTGCAACCTGTTGCCATGGGTTTTTATTTAATCGTTTCTGCCACAGCTGCTGCAAGATTGTTGTCGCCCCGTTGCATTTACATCTTGCTACAGAGGTCCTGCTGCTGCTGGTTATACAATTTTCCTCATCCTCATTCCACACTTCAATTTCCTTTCATTTCCCAGGCGAAAAAACATGCAAAACTTGTGTTTAGTTTTCCAAATTCATTGCCAGCTAGGCCGTAGAGTTTTCTCCGAGTGTGGCTGCTGCACATTTAAATTTATTATGCACTTACAGGTGTTGTCGCCGTTGTTTTAAATTCCCTCTTTGTGTTGCATCTTTTGTTCTCATTAGCATTGTTTTTCCCTTTTCCACTTGCTTGCTTGTTGCTCTGTCCGCCTGCCTCCCCGCCTCTTTATCATCATATTTCCTCGATTCCCGACTTCGGCTGCATATAGCTTATAGCTTATAGCATATAGCATATAGCACCTAGCATCTGGCATCTAGCATCTGATACTCGAGCTAAGTTGCAGTTTCGATTTCGCCCCAGTTGCCGGTCGCCTCTCAACGTCGCTCGTTCTCGTGCTCGACGTGCCAGCGCCAAGCCAAGTCCTATTCCGCAGCTAAATCGGTGAAGAGAGAGAGATTATAGTTTGGCAAACAATCGCCAGAGATTAGACGCCTCTAATCGGGAACCGAAGTTCAGGGACAGATCGCCAGCCACCTAGTATTCATTCTTACCAGCTTCCAGTTTTAGTTTCTAATTTCCAGTTCTGCTTTTTTGAAAAAAAAAACAAAACAAAACAAAACAAAGCTGCTACCTTCGAATGTGTTTGCTGTGCACACTCAGACTCACATTTTCTTATTTACGATCTCGGAAATAAACTTGGACTAGGCCCGGTAAACAACTGCGAACCCTTCGAGTGCTTTTGCCTGATTTATGAATTCTGCAGATTTTTTGTTTGGCCAAAACAAACATGGACATGGCCATGTATCTGTGTGGGGCGGCGGCAGCGGCGGCAGCGGCATTTGATTTATGAACGTGAAGAAGCACAAGCGGCGCGTTTGACCGCATTACAAGGGGAAAATAGGTCAATCAGTCAGAGAGTCAGTCAGTCGGACAGTCAGTCAGTCAGTCAGTCAGTCAGAGAGTCAGTTCGTCGGGCATTCATCCCGCTAGTCAGTGACTATAATTAAACACTGCAGGCCAATGTTGGCACAGTTTTCCTACAATTTTCCTACAGTTTTTGTTCTTCTCTCCGCCTTCTGTCCAGTTCAAATTGAAAAGCGAGTACCCTGTAAAATGCAGTTAATCGAAGAGTGCTTTTTGGGCCTTAAAATCTTATAGTAATCAGATATTATATCAGTAGCAAGACCTTATAGATCCCCTCCTATATCCCATTTTTCTGGACATTCCCCTCTAGATCGTACTTCGTAATCAAGGCTGCAGCCGGGAATGCCCCAACTTTATAGACAAATCAACAGTGGCAACACAGACCAAATGATACGAAATGAAAGGAGCGAGAATAAACGAATGAGGAACGAATCAAAACGTGACTAGGCCAATGTTGACGTCGTTGCTGCTGCTGTTGCTGTTGCTGCTGCGGTGCTGATGTTGCTGCTGTTGTGCTTGCAACACAGTTGCTGCCGCCTGCGTTGACGTGGGCGCATCGCTTCGCATCGCTTTTTGTTTGTGACAGCGATGCGAGGCGGCGCACATATGCCTAAATATAGCGACTCATCTGTGCCCCAGTGCCGCTTAGTTAGTCACGTGCTTCACTGCGAGAACTTCAGTTGTAAGTTGCATTGTTGCATTGTTGCCTTGTTGCCTTGTTGCAGCTGCAGCAAGAATCATAGTGGCAAGTCCAGCAGGTGGGGATTCACCTTCCGGACACCATGGTTACAGCATATACATAGTGTCATTGAGAAATGAGCCCCACTGTACCGAGTGTGTCAGCAGCAAGTGTTGGCTACTTCTTGCTGCCAAGAAAGTGTTGCCTACATTTTGCCGCCCAATAAATCCCTTTCGCAAACGGCTGCAGCAGCAGTACCCCATAAATCCTTTTCAGGGCATCCATCATTCGTTGTCAGAATCTTCTCGCCCTCGGCCCGTTGGCCACGTCAATCATCATTACCGTGCAGAAATGGCCCGGTGAACGACTGTCAAGGGAATTCGAGTTTCATTGCCAACCGAAAAATAGATCAAAACCTATGACTATGACAACGGGAAGCAGCTTGGCATTTTTCTAAAATCAACAATCATCGGGTTATAGCAATTTGCCTGAAATAGTTTAGTTTTCATTCGGAATTTTCGATAAACATTTGTGTCTGGCATTAACTTATTTTTAGGAAATGCGTGTTAAAGGTCTAAAAGTGTCTCAGTCTCAGCCTTAGCCTTTGTTTCAGTTTTCTTGCTTTTCTATGCAGTTATTTTCATAGCTATTTTGCGTGTGTTTGTGGGTGTTGTTGCCGGCAACGGAAATTTATTTTCGCTTTTGTTGCACGGCCAATGGCTAGGAGAACAGAAGCAGAGGCAGAGTCAGAGGCAGAGACAGGAGGCAGTGGCAGTAAACAGTAAACAAACAGGCAAACAAACAACAGTGAAACTTGCAAATGCAAAAAAAGAGAGGAGAAAGAGCGAACCATTTTCCGATTTCACCTGCAGTTGCAGAGCAGAGGCGGCCAGCAGCAGCCGATTGCCGTTCGGGCCATGGCTTTTCCGCTCGGCTTTTTACGCTTTTCCGCTAAGGATAAGTTGCTCGGCAGCTAGCCAGATTCTGTCATAACGGCTTCGGCACTCGTGGCGTTCGTTTCGCTTTTTCCACCAGCAATTATTAGCCAACGCAAAGTTCCCAATTCTCATTTCAAGCCGCTTTCGAAAACGTTTTTTCAAGTTCAACCGCCCAACTTGACTTTACCATTTTTTTTGCTGTGTTTTTTCAACGCGAGTTTAGAACAAAAAACAAAATAAAACAAAAAACAATTACCAAGCTCTGGAAAAAAACACTCAACAAATATTTGAATCGAATCCGGAATCCAAAAATTCAACAAAAAGAAAAACACACAACAGCAGCAGCAGCAGCAGCAGCTAAACCGGCGGGTGAGTGTTAATTGGTTAACAAACAAACTTCAGCGGGTTAAATACCGTTTTTTTTGTGATAAAAAAAAAAAAAAACTTCTTCTAGCCGTGTGCTGTTTGCCCGCCTTTTTTTTTTTTAATATTTATTCATTATTTTGGCCCGAATGTTTGCTTTAATCTCGGCCAAGCGGCTTCATTACGGAATCACAAAGCCAAATGTTAGAATTGTGGAAATTATCATATCAGTTAGGAGGGGCGGCAGTTTCGGTTAATTTGTTTATTTATTGCCAATATGGCTATGGCATTGCGTTCTAAACTACCATTTAGGTGAATAAATTGGTGAAAAAAGGGTGGTTTTAGTTTAAAAACTCATCTGTTAAGAGGAATATCACTGCCTAGTATGGTTACTGCTGTTGATCAGCTTTTCTAGCCCTTAAATGATCAATTTTAAGTCAGTTAAGTCCATCTATGGGATGATCAGATCAAAGGTTTCCAATCAAGACCCACTACATCTTTATCAAAAATCCAAAATCCATCAAGATATATCAATCATTAAGCCATAAGCTAACAATCTTTGTGGTTTAAGAACAAGCCTGCCGCGCAGTGGAGAACCTACACACGCCTCAGCAACTTTCTTCTCTCTGACAGCTATATCCCTATATATATCCCTTCCTATCCCTACACTTATCACATATATATCCCTTCACCCATTTCAAATCATTTGAGCAGCAAATGTTTACTCTTGTCATACTTTTGGTATAACTTCATTGTTGTCCTGCCCTATCCGCCACTCCATTTTCACTTTGCCCCAAAACAGCTTGAGGGCTGCAGCCGTGGCATCTTGCGTCTTGCATCTTTGCATCTTTGCATCTTTGCATCTTCCAGATGAACTGAAGGAAACGACATTTAGTATTTATATTTCAAGAGGAGACGCCCTGCCCAAATAGTACACTGCCAAACGTACAATATATACAAATAGGGGCGTTGTGGGAGCTCGTTAGCATTGTCCAAAGTGCCGCGTGAAGTGTTTTTGTGTGCCGTGGAAGAGACTCCAAGTGTCCTTGACTCTCGCTCTCTCTCTTTCTCTCTCTCTCTCTCTCTAATGAACTGTGGAAACTGTGAGGTGCAGTGGCAGTGGAATCCCCGACAGATCCCCAGACCTGTCCTTCGTGGTGCCACCTGGCCACCTCATTATCGGTGCCTGAATCCTGCGGCCAACTTAAACGTTCTTGTAATCAAATTTTGCCACTTGCGGCACAGCCAACCCATCTCAACCACATCTGTCCACTGTTCGCTGTTTTAGGTTGCACTTTGAGAAAGATAGGGCTAAGGTGGCCAAAGGGGAGATTCAAATTTTCCTATTCTTCACTTCATAAAGTAAAATAATCTATTGAGAAGCTAGAAAAGTTGCCTTTCCCCTTGTTTTTAACCCAAACTATTCCAAAAATCTGACAATTTTCACAATTCCAGTGTAGGCTGGGTGTTTCCCTGCGATTTTCACAGTGCAGCGACATGGCCGAAAACCTTTTTCTTCGCCTGTCAAGTGCTTCGCCCATTTTGCCCCTCCTTTTTTTTTTGCATAACAAAAGTTCCTCCGCTCGAACTGTGTCAAATGTTTTCGTGTTTTTGAGGGGGTGGAGGGAGGCGGTGGGACAAGTGCGGAATGTGTCGAAGCTCAAATAAAATGTTTGAAATGCGGATGCAGGAGCGTATTTCGAATTGGAATTGCCAGTGGATGTGCCAGTACAGAGTTCCGATGCGCCTCGGTGGCGTATGCGTAATGTGCAAATATTGCCAGCGCCGAAAATTTGTTTATCAGCTGCAAGTTGGGCGAGTTTTTCACTTTGCTAGTTTGCCCGAGCAAGTGTCTAAACAAAAAAAAAAGCCAAGCGTAAACAAAGTGGGTATAAATTTCCGAGAGCCAGCAGCCACAGTGGGGCCTCATCAGTGGTGGACAGAGTGGACAGAGAAATCCCAAAAAACGAAACCATGTTAAGGGCCCTTCATCTAATTATAAGTCCTAGTCGTTCACTCATTTCGTTGCGTTTCGTTTCGTTACGTCTGAGCCATAAGCCACTTACCTACAGCAACGTTCGAAAGAATTATGACTGCCACGAGAGCGGAGTTCTGGGATTCCGTGTAAGTCTCATTAAATTGTTAATACTTTCGTTTTTATGTTAGGGAGGACTTTAATTGAGAATATTATTGTGTTAATTGCTTGCTATTGGAAGTTAGAAATGTTCATTAAAACAGTAAGAAACCTTTATGAAGAGCTTGTAAAGCAGGTTAGCTAAATTAATAACCAAAAAAAACTATCAAAAAAAAAGCATATAAAATAGATATTTCTATTTAAAAATTCTTTGCAAAAAACAGTACATATATGTACTTAGGCCAACTTTATTTTGCTTCCAAATACCTTTGCAATTTGCCTTTACTTTTGGGTTTGAGGAAATCAAAAAATTCCTCAGTTTCATATTGCCAAGGGTTTGAGTCCATATTATTTGCCCACTCGAAAGGGGGAACTGTGGGGGAATTTATTAAGCCAAGACACTCACCACGAAAAAGGAGTTGGGAGTCGAAGACTTCAAAGGCCAGGCAAGAGGCTCTAAATTGATTCTGAAGGACTTGCTGAAATCTAAAATAAATCCGATCTGCATGGCGAATTCAACTAGCTTTTCCAGATATATATATATATTTTGTTGAAATGTCATAATTGTGGGAGTACTCGAATATCAATTGTTACTAAAAAGCCGAGCCAATCCCCGTTTCCAGCGTTACTAATTAATCACTCTTGGCTTCCCATTTTAGCCCAGCTGAGCTTTTCTGATGTTTTGGGTTCTTCTTCTCTGTTTTTTTGTGAGCAGTGAAATGGGCAAAAAAGAAGGGCAGGCAGCGGGGGAGTGGAAATTCTACAATTTATTAGCACAGAATGTGATTGAAATGTAACCCTGGGTAACAGAGCGGAAATCAAATCCACCCTTTACCACCCCCCACAAAAGCAAGCATTGTACCTAAAAATGCACATTTAATCATTCATTTATTCATCTCCTATTTGGTTTTTCCCATACACATTTTCCCCATTCGCTCTTTGACCTCGAATCTGCCTGCAATCAATTTGCATTTACACTACCAGCCATAGAAGTTGTTATTTATCTCTCTAAAATTTAAATCAATTTTTTAAGTTAAAAATCTATTTTAAGAATATGAAAAAAACTAAATCCAGTTTGGCCATTGATCCCTGGAACAAGCCATGCTGCTGCTGTTAGCTCTTTTTGTTGCCGCCTGCAGTTAACATTTAACGCTGAATTTGATATATATGCGAGTTGATATGAAAAACAATTTATTGGCATCAGCGAGGGAAATCGCATAAAAACAGCTGGCGGGGGAATTACGGAAAAACAAAGGGGGATATGTTGTTGAAACAATAAATCAATTATATAGTTTGTTTCTGGCATTTTTTATGAAAAAAAAAAACTTGGAAAGTAAGTGAAAACAGAGCCCAGGCAAAGTTTATTTTTAATCAAAAGGGTAAGGAAAGGAAAGGAACAGGGGGGATTGACGTCAGTTGGGAAAACATTTCAAATTTTTTGACGACGAGATGATGATGCATGCAGTCTCTGATTTATCGGAAATCGGAATGAAAACGCCGTACGATATTCAACCGGAAGCTGTATCCAACGGAAGCCAGCAGCCATAAAATATTAACTAGAAACCTTAAACCTTAACTGGGGAATTGCCCCGGAAAATATATTCGTAACTGTTTACGAGGAAAACTGGTAGGCAATGTCTTCGAATGGCTGGCAACCAACTCAAAATGAACTATAAAAATGTTGAATAACCAAACAAAGATTTATTTCTGAGTTTATTTATGTTTTCAGGCACTCAAAGTCAATATTTTGAACTTAAACAATGCGAAAAACTATGCCTGCTGAAAGGTTACAAAACTTACATAAACAAAGTCTCAGAAATACATTCTATCCATCTAAAAACTTTATTACAATTCATATCAAATAATGCAAGAAACTTGATTTATATATCCCAAAAAGACATTGGCAAGGTGTTTACTTTACAAGTTATTTTCGTTCAATGAACATTTGGAATGGGAAAACAATTTGTTCATGAGAAAGCCTTAAAAAAATGATTTACAAGTTTGTTTTGGCCGTCATTGCATTGACGGTGGGTGGAATAAAAGCAAATATCAGGCAGTAGGATCAGCGAATAGTTTCGGGCTAAGCTGCCACTAAAAGCTTTTGATGGGATTATGTCCTGCGGATTAAAGTCCCCCCCCATTTATGTGGAGGATCGCAGAATGAAAAGCGCGACTTTCTCCTCCCACCTAACACTGCTGCCTTCTCCGAAATACCGAAATACCAAACATTCCGCCATTCGGAAATTCGGAAATCCTTCAAGTGCGAGTTGTAAGAGTTAACTGTCAATGGGCTGTAACCTATACAGACAAGCATGAAAGGATGTCAGTCTATGTCTGTGTGTGATTTCTTCTTTTTTCAATGACTATGACTGTGTGTGTGTGTGTGTGTGTTGGGCTCTCAGGACGTGTTCTAGTTGTTGTTGTGGCAGAATTGTCAGTTAAATCGGCTTAGTGGAAACACACTAACACACTAACAGACACAAACACACACACCAATACACTAACACACTAAGGATGCCATTGGGATAAAGTGGGCGTGGCAATGGAGCGTTGCCTCTTAAATTTATTTGCGCATTTGAGCGCATTTAAAACGGAATTCGACGCCCTAGGCAATTGTGTGTGTGACTGAATGTCTGAGTGAGTGTGTGTGTGTGTGTGAGATCCTTGCACCTATGACTAGTCTACGTGACTTTCATAATCCTTGCACTTGCATCTGCACTGAGAGAAAGTGTACAAGAAGGTGGTTGCCTGCCAAGCGTAATAACCGCAAAACTTCCCAGCCTGCTCAGCTTTCTTCTTCTATAATTTCCCTTAAATTTCCTTAAATTCCCTTTTTAGCAACCACAATTTAATCAGAACCAACCTTAGACCG